ATTGCAAGGGCTTGGTCTGCTGCCACCAACAAGTGGCGGCGTGTGTTCTTGGTTGGCGCTTTGCGACGCAGCGTTTTTCAGACGGACTGGCCTTGCACGCGGAGTGAGGATGTAGTACAACATGGTGCCTTCGCATGGACTTGGTGCCGCGGCTGGACGTGACTGGGCCTCGGCGCACGCGTTCTGCACGTGCTCGGATGCGCTAGGCAGCCCACAGGGTGCAGAGACAAACAGCCGCGGTGCCCTCCTCCAGAGGGCGGCGGCGCGAGGGCGCGACACGCGGCCGCGCGGCGCGCACTGGCCAGGGCGCGGTTCGCGCGAGGCTGGGCCGGGCGACCCAGGACGCGAGCGGGCATATCCGCCGCAAAAAAAATAGACAGAGACGCCCTCCACGGGATTGTTCCTGGGCCCCAGGGGGAGGGTGGCGGTGTAGAACTCACTTCGGAGAGCCAGCGACCTTATGCGCAGGAGGGTACATACGAGACTCGTCGGAGGGTGTCTGTATGCATGTATGAATGTATGTACGTATGCATGTATGTATGCAAGCATGCATGCATGTTTGTATGTATGTATGCATGTATGCATGCATGCATGTATGTATGTATGTATGTATGCATGCATGCATGTATGTATGTATATATATGTATGTAAACATGTATGTATGCATGCATGCATGCATGCATGCATGTATGCATGTATGTATGTATGTCTGTCTGTCTGTCTGTCTGTATGTATGTATGTATGTATGTATGTATGTATGCCGGTAGCCAATTAGATAGGTATGTATGCATATATGCATGCGTGCATGTCTGTATGCATGCATGCATGTATGCATGCATGCATGCATGTATGCATGCATGTATGTGTGTACGTACGCACGTATGTATGCATGTAGGTATGTATGTATGTATGCATGCATGTATGTATGTCTGTATGTATGCATGTCTGTCTGTCTGTCTGTCTGTATGTATGCATGCATGCATGCATGCATGCATGCATGCATGTAACCTCATGCCCGTGAGAATAAACACTAGGGGATAATAATGTTCGGGGTTCAGGGAGAGATAATAAAAGTAGCCCAGCAGACCTCAGCATAATCTCGAAGTAAGAGATGATCAAGAGGAGACCAAGCCGAGCACGTTTTGAGACATCCTTGGCGTTTAGTTTGCATAGAAATATCCTCAACAATGGCTTATCTCTCATGACAATTGTTTTTTGTAAGTGCTCGTGTAGGGTAGCTCATGTGCCTCATTTTCCATGGATAATCAACCCCAGGGATAAAAAAGTTAAGGCGAGCGTGAGGACAGAGAGAAATATAAAAGAAGAATAATACAGTAGAAGAATACTAAGAACATTGCTCGTTTCGTTTGAGTCTGCCTCCCAAGATTATTGGTTTCGCTTGACACATCCTGAAAAAGTGTGATCGCTTCGCTTGATGTTGCTATATCAACATCGCTTGATGTTGCTATCTCAACATAGCGTTTCGAGGTGATAATGAAGTTCGGCCTCAGCGCTCGCCTCCCAATTTGAATTTTGTATAGGGCGACGATAATCAACTCTAAACACTGAAGGGGGGGGGGGGTCCCTTTATTATCATCGGCATGCGGTTAGGTATGTATGTATGTATGCATGCATGCATGCATGTATGTATGTCTGCATGCATGCATGCATGGATGGATGGATGGATGGAGGGATGGATGAATGGACGGATGGATGGATGTGAGTAGGTATGTATGTATGCATGTACATCTTCATACCTATGTAGCTGTGTATAGATCTATTTATGTATATAGCTATATTCACCTATTTATATATCCATCCATCCATATCTCGATATATATATATATATAAACATATATCCATATATTTATAGTTCTACCTATTTATCTATCTATCTATCTATCTATCTATCTATCTATCTATCTATCTATCTATCGATCGTGGCGTAGCGCAGACCGGCCCAGGGCCAGGCGGCAGCGGGCGGCAGCGGTGAGGGGCAGCGCGAGCCCCGCCAGCAAATGCCCCTCGCCCTTTTTGGCAGGCCTCTGCACGGAGGGGCGCCGCCGCGAGCGGAGGAGGGCACTTGAGCCAGGGGCCTCGGCGAGGGCACGCGGTGCAGAGGCGCGCCAGCAAGCGAGGGGGGGAAATGAGAAGGAGAAGGGCTTCTCGGAAGGCGGCGGGACTTCTCAGAAGCTCTCGCGCCTGCTGAGAAGTTCTCTGTGTCTTCGGGGAAGGCTTCTCAAACTTCTCAGAAGGGAGGGGGGCTTCCGAGCCTTCTGAGAAGGCCCGCCCCTTCTCATTTCCCCCTCAGGCGTGCCTCCTATGGGAAGCTGGGGCGTCTGTGCGCCGAGAGCCCTTGGCCGACTAGAGCCTCGGGCCCCTTCCCAGGGAGGCTCCCAAGACGGCTGAAGGCACCTCCAGGACGGCCTCCGGGAGGCCCAGGACCCCAAGACGGCCCCAGAGCGCTGAAAGACGGCCAAGGATGGCCTCAAGACGGCCAAGGCGGCCCTCCAGACGCTCCAGGAGACTCTCAAAAGGACCCCCAAAGGGCAACATCGTCCCATTCCTTTCTGGGAAAGCGTGACTTTTTGGCACACTCGCTGTTTAGTCGCTGTCGTCGGCCCAGGAGGCCCCCAAGACCGCCCCAAGACGGCCCAAGAGGCCCCCAAGACGGCCCAAAGGGGTTCCAAAACAGCCAAACAGAGCCCCAAGACGGCCCCCTAAAGGCCCCTGAGGGCCCCCAAAGGTTCCCAAGAGAGCCCCAAGAGGGCGACTGGAGGTCCCCAAGAGGGCCCAGGGGGCTCCAAGAGGGCCCCACGATGGCCCAAGCCTCCCAAGACGGCCCAAGAGGGCCCAGGGACCGCCCAAGCGGGCCCCAAGACTGCCCACAAGTTCCCCCAAAGGACCCCTAGGAAGGCCCAGAAATGCAAGATGCATTGATTTTGCGCACAGTTCTTTGCCAGATTCTCGTTTGTCGTGCCAAAGTCTACACGGGCAGGGCTCCAAGGCCCTAAGCAAGCGTTCGCGCGTTCTCACGAAGTACACGCGCTTTCCGTCCCCGTGCCGAGCATGTTCAAAATTTTCGGACGTCGTCGTCGTCGATTCTCGGCGGCTTTCCAGCCTCGGGACGCGTTCGAAGTTCCAGCGGCTGCTCCTAGAGGCGTCCTGGGGTGCCCGGATCGACCCAAATGGCCGCCGGAGTCCTGAGTTTTGACCCGAAGGATGCGTCGACCCCAATCGCCCATTCATTGCCCGTGGTGGCTTGATAGCGCATCCCGCCCAGGAACGTGCGGGGAGAGGGGGTAGGTGGAGAGGAAGACCTATGATCGAAGGGGAAGGAGGTTGGAAGGACCAACGACCCGAACCACATGCGCCCAGATGGCTGATGGGGATCTTGTGAAGCCTGTCAGCAGGGGGCGTCTGAGCCAGGGCATGCCGAGCATCCACGCCGCGGGTCCTCCTGAATCTGTCCACTCGGTATACAGTGGGGACCCATGCCAAGAATCACCCTGCTTTCCTCCAGGGTGCCCCGGGTTTCTTGGGTCTCGGTGGTTTTGCTGCGGGAAGCGTGGCGTTCCCACGCCAAAGATTGCTGGACGTCCTGGGGTCTCAGGGTTGGGTTTCCTGTTGAAGGTTTCTTGCGGACTGCCCTCCACTGTACAGTCAACGCGCCTAGTAAGGACGCGCTCTGAGCTGGGACTGGCCAGGGGGAGCCGGGCGGCCGGCCGAGCGAGGCTCGACGGGGCAGCTTTAGGCCGGGCAGTTCCCTCTACAGGAGGAGTACCCCACAAATAACAAAAAAAACATCGTATGGGGACGATTTTCGATTATGTTAAAACCATTTTGAGCATGCTATGACATTTATCAGAATTTGTCTTACAAATCCGCCTGTAGGAGCACATGCACGACCGAAGGGTAGCTAGGGGGTGGCAGCTGGGTGCGGTGCTGCCGTGTCGGGAGGCGGTCGCTGCGAGGACGCCGCGAGGCGGCCACGTAGCTTGAGTGATGTCTTCGTATAGCGTCCGAGGCTATTTCGGCTCACGCCGTGTTGGTGCAGCCGATTCTGTCTCGGGCCATCTTGGAGCAGCTTGCGTGCTCCGACGCCGGCCGAGGGCCAGTGCTGAGTCGATTTTCTCCTGGGTGCCCTCGCTGCGGTGTCAGGCGGCGAGCGAGGGGGGGAAGTGAGAAGGAGAAGGCTTTCTCAGAACGCGGCCTGGCTTCTCAGAACCCCGCCAGCCTTCTGAAAAGTTCTCTGTGCCTACGTGGAAAGGCCGTCTCAGAATGCCAGGTGACTTGAGTGCGTTTCCGGGCCAGGTCCCCTGCCTTTCTATAGAGCTGCGCGCAGGAACCTGACAATCTTATTTTCTGGTCGTCGGTGCCATTTTGAAGGTGTCGGCGCGTCGCCCATGGCGGCCAGCCAATCCCAAACAGACACTGCAGATTGAAAAAAAGAAAATGGCACGCCTCCCGAGCGCCCTGCGCCTCGACCCTCTAGACCTGACCACCTGACACCCCAGGCATATTCAAGGGATGGCTTCCGAGCCTTCTGAGAAGGCCCGCCCTCGAAGGAGGCCTCTCCGGGCGGCGCCTCTTTTGCGCGGCGCCCGCCTGGGCTCGCCGTCGAAGGAGGCCTCTCCGGGCGGCGCCTCTTTTGTGCGGCGCCCGCGCTCCTGCCCTCGCGGCTTTCGGTACAAAACCGCTGCCGTGCGCGACCTGCCGGGGGCAAACATTAGCTCCGTTGTCACCATGTTCATGCGGCGGGCAAGATCGGGGGCGGCCAAGAGGTGGGTGATGCCGGTGTGTATATCATAGCGGCGGCCATACCTTCTCACCAGATTTCATGGCGCCTCTTCTTATTTCAATGCGTCCCCGGCCCCCCCCCCGGGGTCGCGCACATGCCGCCGGCCATGATTTGCGCCCCCCTCTCTTGGACGCCACCCTCTTGGACGCCCCCGACAAGAGCTAAGCAGATCTTGCAGCCGGCCACAGCCCAGTCCTACATGAAGCCTTCCGTCGGAATCCGAGGCAGGTGGCTGGCGGCGAGAGGCTCACCACCAACACTGGCGTTTATCAGTCAGCCTCCGAGACGATCCATCACTACGGCCGCAGGCCGCAGAGCGGAAGGCCGCCTTGCCTTATTAGAGGCGGCAGGCTTTGACCGCCAGGTAGTGGTGAAGATGGCGTCGTCATTCCCTCAAGTGCTGAGCTTGGATGTGGAGAGCCGCATTGCCCTGCTAGAGGCGGCGGGCTTCGACTGCAAGGCCGTGCTGAAGATGGCGTCGTCACATCCTCGAGTGCTGGGCTACGATGTGGAGAGCCGCATTGCCCTGCTAGTGGCGGCGGGCTTCGACCGCAAGGTCGTGCTGAAGATGGCGTCGTCGTTTCCTCAAGTGCTGGGCTTAGATGTGGAGAGTCGCATTGTTCTGCTAGAGGCGGCGGGCTTCGACCGCAAGGTCGTTCTGAAGCTGGCGTCGTCGTTTCCTCCAGTGCTGGGCTACGATGTGGAGAGCCGCATTGCCCTGCTAGAGGCGGCGGGCATCGACCGCAAGGTCGTGCTGAAGATGGCGTCGTCGTTTCCTCAAGTGCTGGGCTTAGATGTGGAGAGTCGCATTGTTCTGCTAGAGGCGGCTGGCTTCGCCCGCAAGGCCGTGCTGAAGATGGCGGCGTCGTTTCCTTCAGTGCTGGGATACGACGTGGAGAGCCGCATTGCCCTTCTAGAGGCCGCGGGCTTCGACCGCAAGGTTGTGCTGAAGATGGCGTCGTCAAATCCTCAAGTGCTCGGCTACGATGTGGAGAGCCGCATTGCCCTGCTGGGGGCGGCGGGCTTCGACCGCAAGGCCGTTTTGAAGATGGCGTCGTCGTTCCCTCGAGTGCTGGGCTTGGATGTGAGTAAGAACATTCTGCCGAAACTGAGCTTCTTGCAGGCGGCCCAAGTAGTTGTTACAGACATCACGTCGCACCCGAGGTACTTTTCATATTCGCTGGAAGGCAGGATTAAGCCAAGACTGTTAGCATTGCAAGGGCTTGGTCTGCTGCCACCAACAAGTGGCGGCGTGTGTTCTTGGTTGGCGCTGTGCGACGCAGCGTTTTTCAGACGGACTGGCCTTGCACGCGGAGTGAGGATGTAGTACAACATGGTGCCTTCGCATGGACTTGGTGCCGCGGCTGGACGTGACTGGGCCTCGGCGCACGCGTGCTGCACGTGCTCGGATGCGCTAGGCAGCCCACAGGGGTGCAGAGACAAACAGCCGCGGTGCCCTCCTCCAGAGGGCGGCGGCGCGAGGGCGCGACGCGCGGCCGCGCGGCGCGCACTGGCCAGGGCGCGGTTCGCGCGAGGCTGGGCCGGGCGACCCAGGGCGCGAGCGGGCATATCCGCCGCAAAAAAAATAGACAGAGACGCCCTCCACGGGATTGTTCCTGGGCCCCAGGGGGAGGGTGGCGGCGTAGAACTCACTTCGGAGAGCCAGCGACCTTATGCGCAGGAGGGTACATACGAGACTCGTCGGAGGGTGTCTGTATGCATGTATGCATGTATGTACGTATGCATGTATGTATGCAAACATGCATGCATGTTTGTATGTATGTATGCATGTATGTATGCATGCATGTATGTATGCATGTATGTATGTATGCATGCATGCACGCATGCATGCATGCATGCATGACTGTAGGTATGTATGTATGTATGTATGCCGGTAGCTAATTATATAGGTATGTATGCACATATGCATGCGTGCATGTCTGTATGCATGCATGTATGCATGCATGCATGCATGTATGCATGCATGTATGTGTGTACGTACGCACGTATGTATGCATGTAGGTATGTATGTATGCATGCATGTATGTATGTATATCTGTATGTATGCATGTCTGTCTGTCTGTCTGTCTGTCTGTCTGTCTGTCTGTCTGTCTGTATGTATGCATGCATGCATGCATGCATGTAGGCATGTATGTATGCATGCATGCATGCATGCATGTATGTATGTCTGCATGCATGCATGCATGGATGGATGGATGGATGGAGGGATGGATGAATGGACGGATGGATGGATGTGAGTATGTATGTATGTATGTATGCATGTACATCGTTATACCTATGTAGCTGTGTATAGATCTATTTATGTATATAGCTATACTCACCTATTTATATATCCACCCATCCATATCTCGATATATAGATATATAACCACATATCCATATATTTATAGTTCTACCTATTTATCTATCTATCTATCTATCTATCGATATATCTATCTATATATCTATCTATCTATCTATCTATCTATCGATCGTGGCGTAGCGCAGACCGGCCCAGGGCCAGGCGGCAGCGGGCGGCAGCGGTGAGGGGCAGCGCGAGCCCCGCCAACAATACCCTGCGCGAGAGGGGATTCTGCACGGAGGGGATTCTGTCGCGAGCGAAGGAGGGCGCTTGAGCCAGGGACCACGGCGAAGGCACTCGGTGCAGAGGCGCTCCAGCATCCCGCAGCCGGATACAGCCTGGGCTGGGATCGCTGGCAAGCGAGGGCGGGAAATGAGAAGGAGAAGGGCTTCTCAGAAGGTGGCGGGACTTCTCAGAAGCTCTCGCGCCTGCTGAGAAGTTTTCTGCGTCTTCGGGGAAGGCTTCTAAAACCTCTCAGAAGGCCGGGGGGCTTCTGTGCCTTCCGAGAAGGCCCGCCCCTTCTCATTTCCTCTTCAGGCGCGCCGCCTATGGGAAGTTGGGGCGTCTTTGCGCCGAGAGCCCTTGGCCGACCAGAGCCTCGGGCCCCCTCCCTGGGGAGGCTCCCAAGACGGCTGAAGGCACCTCCAAGACGGCCGCAGGTAGACCCAGGACCCCAAGACGGCCCAAGAGCGCTCAAAGACGGGCCAATATGGTTTCAAGACGGCCAAGGCGGCCCTCCAGACGCTCCAAGAGGCCCTCAAGAGGACCCCCAAGAGGCGAACATCGTCCCATTCCCTAGGGAAAACGTGCATGTTTGGCACGCTTGCTGTTTTGTCGTTGTCATACCGTCTACGACGGCCCAGGAGGCCCCCAAGACCGCCCCAAGACGGCCCAAGAGGCCCCCAAGAGGGCCGCAAGACGGCCCAAGTGGGCTCCAAAACAGCCCAAGAGAGCCCCAAGACGGCCCCCCAAAGGCCCCTGAGGGCCCCAAAGGGTTCCCAAGAGAGCCCCAAGAGGGCCACTGGAGGTCCTCAAGAGGGTCCCAGAGGGTTCGAAGAGGGCCCCACGACGGCCCAAGCCCTCCAAGACGGCCCAAAAGGGCCCAAGGGCCTCCCCAAGAGGGCCCCAAGACTGCACAAACAAAAACCCCAAAGGACCCCCCAGGAAGGCCCAGAAATGTGAGATGCATTGATTTTGCGCACGGTTCTTTCCTAGATTTTTGTTTGTCGTGCCAAAGTCCCAACACCAGCAGAGCTCCAAGACCCGAAGCAAGCGATCGCGCGCTCTCACGAAGTACACGCGCTTTCCGTCCCCGTGCCGAGCGTGTTCAAAGTTTTCGTAACTCGTCGTCAGTTCTCGGCGGCTTTCCAGCCTCCGGGTGCGTTCGGAGTTCCAGCGGCTGCTCCTAGAGGCGTCCTGGGGTGCCCAGGCCGTCCCGAACGGTCGCCGGAGGCCCGAGTTATGACCCGAAGGATGCGTCGACCCCAATCGCCCATTCATCGCCCGTGGGGGCTTGATAGCGCACCCCGCCCAGGAACGTGCGGGGAGAGGGGGTAAGAGGTAGACCTATGATCGAAGGGGAAGGGGGTTGGAAGAACTAACTCCCTGAACCACATGCGTCCAGATGGCTGATGAGGATCCAGTGATGCCTGTCTGCAGGGGGCGTCTGAGCCAGGTCATGCCGAGCATCCACAGCACGGGTTCTCCTGAATCTGTCCACTCGGTATACAGTGGAGACCCATGCCAAGAAACCCCCTGCTTGCCTTCATGGTGCCATGGGTTTCTTGGGTTTCGATGGTTTTGCTGTGGAGCGCGACGTTCCCACGCCAGAACTCAATGCACGTCCTGGGGTCTCAGGAGTGGGTTTCTTGCGGAAGGTTTCTTGTGGTCGGGCCTCCACTGTACCGTGTCGGGAGGCGGTCGCTGCGAAGGCGCCGCGAGGCGGCCAGGTAGCTTCCGTGGTGTCTTCATATGGCGTCCGAGGCCATTTCGGCTCGCGCCGTTGTGGTGCAGCCAACTCTGTCGCGGGCCATCCTGGCGCAGCCTGTGTGCTCCGACGCCGGCCGAGGGCCAGTGCTGAGTCGACTTCCTGCTTGGTGCCCTCGCTGCGGTATCAGGAATCGGCGGCGAGCGAGGGGGGGAAGTGAGAAGGAGAAGGCCCTCTCAGAAGGCGGCGGGGCTTCTCAGAAGCCCGCCGGCCTTCTGAGAAGTTTTCTGCGTCTTCGGGAAAGGGCCGTTTCGGAAGGCCGGATGACTTCCGAGCCTTGTGAGAAGGCTCGCCCCTTCCCGGAAACAAGGGTATGTACATTGCCAGTGGCGGGCTGTTTTAATTCTTCGACCCCAGGACTTTTTGAGGGTCCGTGACGACGTCGGGGTGGTGCGGCGTGCACTTCTTTTATCCGCCTCCCAGGGCAACGCTGAAAAATGTATACGCCAGGATCCCGTAGACCATGAGTTCGTTTCCTCACTCTCTCACTTCTTCCCTGGGCTCGCCGCCGAAGGAGGCCTCGCAGTGCGGCGCCTCTTGGCGCGGCGCCCGCCCTCCTGCCCTCGCGGCCTTCGGTATAGAACCGTTGCCGTGCGCGACGGGCCAGGGGGGAAGACCTACGGCAGGTTCGCGTCGTGTCGACTGGCGGCGACCCCGCCGCTGGCGCTCAGCGTTGAACGCCGCTGGCGACCCAGAGTCGGTCGATGTTGAACGACCCGGCGTTTCGGAAACGGCCGTTCGTTCAAGGTTGAACGATCCACGCGGTGTCAGGAACCAACGCCGGGGTCGACACGACACGAACCCACGGACGAACCCACGGTAGCTCAGCTGTCACCATGTTCATGCGGCGGGCAAGGGCTAAGCAGATCGTGCAGCCGGTCATGGCCCAGTCCTGCATGAAGAAGCCCTCCGTCGGAATCCGAGGCAGGTGGCTGGCGGCGAGAAGCTCACCACCAACGCTGGCGTTTATCAGTCCGCCTCCGAGACGATCCATCACTACGGCCGCAGGCCGCAGAGCGGAAGCTCGCATTGCCTTACTGGAGGCGGCAGGCTTTGAGCGCCAGGCAGTGCTGAAGATGGCGTCGTCATATCCTCCAGTTCTGGGCTTGGATGTGGAGAGCCGCATTGCCCTGCTAGAGGCGGCGGGCTTCGACCGCAAGGTCGTGGTGAAGATGGCGTCGTCGTTTCCTCAAGTGCTGGGCTTGGATGTGAAGAGCCGCATTGCTCTGCTGGGTGCGGCGGGCTTCGACCGCAAGGTC